ACTTCCTCTCCAAAACTCAGTTTCATGCCAACTTACTTTTGGGTGGAGACTGAGTATGTGCCTTACAATGCTGGAGAATCTCACTTCCCAGAGCCTGCACACAGCAGGTGATCAATAAATGCATACTCATGCTTAGAAACCATGCAATAGAATGCATTTGCACTCCAAAAACCACGATAAGCTGAAGTGCACTTCGGGCTGAGTGAAAAGGGACGGCGTTGCTCACCTATCTATGCACTTCTTTCACAAATTAAGGCTCCTGCCTTCAGTCAGGGCTGAGACATTTCGACTTCACCTTCTTCATCTCATGTCATTTTCCCATGGGGACATTTGTACTCTTCAATATTTAAAAACTGAAGAAGCCTGCTATACCTTGGGCAATTTCCTCTCCTCCATGAAGAATGATGGTCTGAGAGAAAGTACTGCAGATAATAAATGAAGTTTTAATGCTTCATTATTTAGGTGATCTCAGACAGGGGAGCTAATGCCCCGAATGGGTAAGTGCTCCCAATGACCTGCTAAGGAGTGTCTGGATCCCAAAAGATTCCCTCTCTACACCACACATTAGCATGGAGCCCCTCCACAGACCAGGAAAGGCAAGATGGCCAAGCTAGCACATGGTGTCAGCCAAAACACCCCAAGATGATATAACCCCCTTTCTTACATACTGTACACCCCCAGGAGCTGAGAAGGACACCATACTGGGGGCAAGGCACAGACCAGCTTTTCTGCAATTAACTTCCACTCACTGGGTTCCTTCTGCATCCAAGATATCACGCAAGGTCCTGCCCATAACTGCAGGTGCAGACAGCCCTGTTAGAACCACCTATAACTAACTCCAACAGCAGAAGACTGGGACAGTGTAACTGTCAATCAACAGGGAAGAAAGGGATTAAACCATACCACAGCCACACCACAGAGGCAGATATGAACAGAATGGGCCTATCTCTAGGTACTGTGTTAGAGGCACCACCAGGATACAATGTAAGTGTGAGTGCACTAATGTGTGCCAAGGGGGGAACTAAGAATAAATACACATATTTGTTTCTATAAAAAAGTTAGTGGATGGAATTAGTGTAAAATTAAAAGAAAATCAGTTATCCACAGATATATGACCATGGGGAGAGAAACTCCAGTTCTCTGACTACACCTTGACTCTGGACCCAGGTAACCAATTTTACTTGATCGCATTTATTTTTGAGACAGGGTCTCACTATGTTATTCAGACTGACATCAAACTCCTGAGCTCCTGTGATCCTCGTGCCTCAGACTTAAGCAGCGACTACAGGCTCCAGCCGTCATAAGCAATTTTGGTAAGCTATGAGAACTTAATTTAAATAGGAACTTTTGACACTTCATATAAAGGGATGTGATGACACTGTGCCCCTCCTGATGGGATGCACTGAGGAGACACCACAACGTCTGTGACACTGGGCACAAGACCACAGTCTCTCCATGTGACCACAGAAGACAAATGTAAACTGAGCACATTCTGTCAAAGAACTGTCCTGTGCTCGTCAGAAGAGTCAATATGGAGAAACAGATGGGCTGAGGGAAAATGAGTCTAAAGGGACAGAACACAACTCATGACACAGAACTTGCTTTTACTAGAAAGGACATTAAGGGAAAAATAGTGAACTTGGAAGAGAGAGTGAACTTATACTAAGTTCTGTATTTCCTGAGTTTAATGACCATACTATGGTTACATAAGAGACTATCCTTGTGGGTTTTTTGTTTTTCCAGTACTGGGGTTTGAACTCAGGGCCTTGGGTTTGCTAGGTAGGAGTTCTACACTTGAACCACATCGCCAGCCCTTTTTTTGTTAATTATTTTTGGGATAGGGTCTCACTTTACACCCAGGCCAGCCCAGATCATGATTCTCCCAAGCAGTTTCCCCAAAGATGGGATGACCAGTGTGCACCATCATGCCTGGCTTTGATTGGTTGAGATGGGGGTCTTGAGAACTTTTTGCCCAGGCTGGCCTCGAACCATGATCTTCCTGATCTCTACCTCCCAAGTAGCTAGGATTACAAACTTGAGCTACTGTGCTTGGCAAGGATATCCTTGCTTTTAGGAAACAGGCCAGAGTGTTTAAAACTCAGAGGCATCATGTCTGTAAATGACCATCAGGCAGCTCTGAAAAAAATACTGTGATGGACAGATGGACAGACAGATAAATGAACAAATGAATGGATACAGGGCGGATGGATCGATAGGTGGGCAAAGGAATGGATGGACAGATGCATGTGCACCTGAGTAGGTGGATAAATGGGGGATGAGAGGGGGATGGAAAGCAGACAGATGAGAGAGAGGAATAACTAGATGAAAAATATACAGGAGTTCTTTGTGCTATTTTTGTAACTTCCTGGTAAGTCTTCCCAGCAAAATAAAAAGTTAAAAGAAAACAAAGGTAATCTGCAAAAGTCTCAAGTGCAGAGAAACAAATGGAGCCCAGCCCTACACAGCATGGCAACACAGCCGTGAAGAAGAAAATCCCTCCTAGTGGGACGTCGCCCAAGGAGAAAAGAACAAGAGACAAATACAAAGTGTACTCAGTGACCCACCAGTGGACAACAGCTCTACACTTTTATATATTATTGTGGATAAAACAGATGAGCAAGGCTGTGACCGCCCTCTGAGAACCAGACGCAGAGGTATGATGAAGGTCCAGTGCGGTCAGATAGAAACCCAGGAGATCTGCTTGTAAGTTCCCATCAGATTATCTGTACGGACCCATGGTGCCCTGGCTGTGGCCACGGAGAACTCAGAACATTCAGTGAATGCCCTGGAATCCTCAATCAGTCTCTAAACATCACTTTCCACCAAAAGGAACTAGGGCTGTTTCAAAAAATGATTAAGGAAATGTTTGTGACAAACCTGGAACATCTTGTCGCACTGGGAAAAGGACTCAGACACCACCTCCGAGGTTCCCACAGTCCTGTACGTGAGCAACAGTAAATAATAACCAGTGACAAAAACATGTCGAGTGGGCTTTGATCTATGACCTCAGGATGACTCCAAAACTCCCACAAGAGCTACCACCCTTGCTGGTCTGTAGTGGAGGATTCAACTCATTACTTTAAAACTGGAAAATAAAGGGAGGAAGCTCAAGCATGTGTGCTGCATCTCCCACGCGCGCCACACCTCAGGATAGCCAAACAGTCGGCAAAAGGAAGTTTGTCTTCAGAAACATTGTCACTCTGCACTCTGATGAAAGACGGCTCTCAGCAATAATTATCCCCTGCGATATCAGAGACAGCCCACCTCTGCCAGAACACACCAACACCAGCAAAGGGTCCTCCCCAAAGACCCACCAGATCCCGCCACGAGGGAGGAACAGGAATGACAGTGTATGGGGACACATTAGGCCATGTGTTGAGTCCACAAGGACACTGTCAGCAGGTGACACAGTCCCCAAGGGTAAAAAGCAACAGAGTGAGAACTGCAGAGTAAAGACTGAGGAGACATAGCAGCTAATCCCACCCACGGACCTCAAGAACTGTCAGTTCAAAGAGGATTTCTAAAAAATTTGAGCTTATCGGGGAAATTTGGGCTGCAACAGGATATCTGATGAAACCAAAGAAAAGCTGTTTGTTGTTCTCTTTGTCAAAATGGACTCATGGCTTTTGTCTTTAAACCAGACTGAGCTATCAATAAAATATTTATAGATGAACCAATAAGATACTGGCTGGGATTTTTCCAAAATACCCAGAGAAGGAGGTCGGGAGGAAGCCAGCCTGGCCCCAAACCAGTTCCTGTGTTGGGTGTTGGCGAGCGCTCATAACACTATTTGCTCCATTTCTGTGTACATTAGAAATTTTTTGGAATTAAAAAATACTGCCCCTAACTTCTCCCCCTATAGATGTCAGTTGAACTCCACACTCCCACTCAGGAGCCACCAAGGAGTGGGAGGAATGCTTCTTTGTTAACACTGAGGAAAGGATTGTGAGTGTGGTCCCAGGACACCAGCAGCAGCATCCCACAGAGGCCACTTCTGCACTTTTCCTTATGGGTCTGTCAGCTCCAGGGAAGTCTTCCCCACACACACTGTGGGCTGAGGCCGGCTTCATTCTGCATCTCTGCTTCAGAGTGGGTGTGAGTGCACAGGTGTCCATCCTCAGTCCCTGCCTTAGCAGAGGCCACCCCTTGCAATAGACCCCTCCCCTGGGCTCTGCTCTGCACAGTTCAGTGACACAGGGCTGAGGCACACAGGCTGAAGCTACCTCTCCCTGTACCTTCCCCCTAATAGCATCGATTCCACCATGGCATCAGCTATGACAACACTGTGTCACACAGTGGGGTTCAATGCATGAGCTTTGGGGCTGGTCGGCCTGGTTTAAACCATTACTAGTTAAAGAAGTTCACCCAAAGGTAGGGTGACTTTAGTCAACCCTCTGTGCCTCAGTTTCCTCATCTGTAAAACCTAGAGGACATGGAGATGAGGTGGAAGGATCAAAAGTGAGACGTCAGCAGGATCACATCCCCAAGGACCGGCAGGACCTTCAGTAGCCATCTCCTCCTCTCATTGTTCCAAATGCCAAAATCCCACTAAGCAGGGACTATGTGGGGAAGGCTCACAGATGACACATCCCAGTGTCTCCTCCCTCCTTGATGCATAAACTAAACAGAATAAACACAGAATTTCAGATTCCTTTGAAAAGCTCTGAGAAATCCTAAGTTAACTGTTGAAAACCTCTGTGCCAGATTCTCTAAAGTAATCCAAACTTTCAGGGAACATTTCATTTTTTTGCCCCTGAAACTCCCTCACCCCATGCGCCAATCACAGTCCAGGGTTGGGCTTCATAAAGTAGCAAGTAGGAGACACAATCAGGAGCAAAGGGTGGTTCAGGGACTTCCAAGTGTGAAGAGCCACACAGGCCCATGCCTGTCCCCACGCCTGTGCCCAGGAGAGCTCCTGAGAACATGTCAGCAAGTTAGCATTCCAGTTCATCCCCACCTCTGCAGTGGCTTGTCCCCTACAAGCACATTCTGATACTCACGTAGGAAGTGTTTTTCCAGTAAAGCGATTTCCAGGTGACCCTTGATCTCATTCAGCCGATCACACTCTGTCCTGCTAAAGTCTTGGACCCCTGCAGCCATGATGAGGGTCCCTGGACCAGCCTGGAAGGAAAACACCAAGAGCTCAGAGGCAGCCACACAGAAGCATTCTCTGTCTACATCAGTTGGTTCTACACAGCCTGAGAACTCAGGACAGCAGCCACCGCCTCCAGGACACGAGGTTGGCCTGATGGCCAGGGGGCCCCACCCACACCTGCCTGAACCCATGGGACAAGGAAGACACAAGCTGTGCAGTAAGACCAACACCAGTGCATCAGCCCACCTTGGGATCTCTAACCGTGAGGACACCCTCAGAGCCAAGGTGAGATCAACTTTAAGAAAGAATATACAAAATGAAGACCAAGTGAGGCACTAAGCCTCCTGGTATGGCAATACCAGGAGAGGGAAGAAATCTCGGAGCCGCCCTGTAGTCCCCTCCCCCAGACTGTAGGGGGTCACTCTCACGACGGGAGCTGGGGCCCATAGGTGTCCACACCATGCTGCATGAGTCAGAAAGGAGAATGGCTCCTAGGCAGGATGAGGTCTGAGGGGACCTAGGCTGAGCAAATCCCAAACCAGGGCCTCCTCCTGTCTGTCCCACAGACAGTGGCTAACTAACCCACGGTTCCAGCAGCTGAGGGTCAGCTCTAGTTACAGGTCCTTGAGGTCAATGCTACAAGCCCAGGGGCTGGTCACAGGTGGCCGCTGTGTATCCTGCTGACCAGAGGGAAATGAATATGACCCTACCCACAAAGCCAGGCTTGCTCTGATGACACGGGTACACACATGGTCACCCTCCATGGTTGCATCCTATTGCTGACCCAGCAAGAAATGGCACACAAGGGCCCCACCAGTGAGTAGGGACCTGACTTCCCTGCCTGGGTCCCTTGACCCCTTCCTCAGGCAAGAAAATACACATGGCATGGACAGGTCAGCCTGGAGCAGCACTGTGGATACTACCTGCACGTGTGTCACCTTCCCAGAGACCACAGCCTGTGTCCAAGGAGCTGATGGGGCCAGAGGCTCTGGGAAAGGCTGTGGTTGTCCTTCCCTGGGCACCTAACTCACACCTTCAGCCACTCTGGCTACTATAGCACCAGCTCATGTGGGCAGGGCCCAGGCTGTAGTCAGTTGCTGCCCTCGTAGGTCCTAGCACAGCGACAGGTGGAGACTGGAGATGGGTTGAAGGCAGGACAGCTTCATCTACCTGACCTAACCAAGAGACCCCATAGGTGCCGATCAGCCTCACTCCCTCCACCGTTACTGACACATGAGGACCATACATGGGGTACCTGTTCTAGCAGGCTGGTGGGGCCTGGGTGCTGGAAGCCATGAGCACTACTGACCCCTAAAGCCTGGGTCCAGAGGACAGATGCCCCAGGAGGACACACCTGTGCTGTAGCCAATGCAGCAATGGACCCTGCCATTCCAGGCAGGCCCCGAGACAGCTCAGGTGTGGGCCAGGTAGGTGTCAGCTCGGAGCCATGGGGCAGATGTCAGAGTCTAAACATCTGTTCAGAGGTGGTTCTGAGTCAACTAACCCCAGATGAGCTTGCAGAATCTAGGGAAGGTCCAGTGAAACCCGAGCAGCAGCCTGTGTGCAGTGCCCCCCAAAGACATAGTTATAGGGAACGGTACACAACTTACACTGTGGCTGGCTACCACCAGCCCTTATCTTTTAGACCAGTCCCTAACATGTTAAGGACGAATGATCAAATGCCTGTCATCTGCTCCATAATCCTCCAGAGGGGCAGAAGCAGCAGGACAGTCCAGCAGTGGCCGTGGTCGTACATGAGACAAATGAGCTCCCACACATGCTTTGAATTCAAGTGTGCTAGGAGTTTGGGATATTACACACACATTAAAAATTCCTTTTAAAATCCTAAGCACAAACTTTGGCCCACATGTAATCTGGTCATCTCTAAGTTGCTGTGGGCAGCTCTGGGCTGCCTGACCGATGACCCAAGCCAGCACCAGGCTCCTGCCTTTGCCCATTGTCACCCTCCATCCCCACATGCTGAGTGGGTCGGTAGGCACACCCTCGGTTCCTCAGGCCTCCACCTCAGGCTGGTTCTAGAAACACAGACTGACTTCATCTCCATTCCTCCTTCCTTAGGCTTCTTGCACCTCCTGAAGGATCTACCCACTCTCCTAGCATTGGAGTTCTACCTAGTCACTCTGCTCCCAGCGTTGTAAGGCAAGGCCTGTCTCTAGAAGATCATAAATGCTGAATTGAAATAAGACCTGGCAGCCCCCACCACCCCTAGGAACTATCCCATGCCTGGCTGCCCTCTGGTCTCACCTGCACTCCACAGGGCCACCTGCAAGGGAACATACTTTAAGTATTTCACTAACTCTTTCTGTCCCCAAAACCTGCAGGCTCACAGCATGAGTGCAACACCTGGCTCAGCAGGCCTGTTTGCTCCCCTTACCCGGGGGAGCCAGGCCAGACGATGGCCCAGGAGTGGACGTGGGCTAAGGCCCTGCCTGAGAGACATCCAAAGGTTAGCGAAGGGTTGTGAATGACAAGACCCAAGCCCTCCCCCATCTCCTGTAGCACCACACTGAGGACAGAGCACAGCCTTATGCAGCCTGCCCAGCCTGTCCCGAGATGTGGTTTGCCCTTCCCACGATGAAGTCCACTGCAATCTCCTCGAGGGATGCTGGAGAATAAAGGTCCCCTTCCTCTGTGGCAAGGCAAGGCTGAGCCCCAAGAAGCTAGCGGCCTTGGCCCGTTCCTCCTCTGGTCTACTTCAAGGATGCCAGCCCCAGGAAAGACGGCAGAAAGCTAGAGCCCCACTGACCGCTTCTCCAAGTCTGCATGACCTTCATCTGCTGAAGTGCAGGCTACTTAGCCCCATAGTCATGTCCATCCCAGGGACAGGAAGGAAGCGAGGAGCAGTCAGCTGGTAGTCAGGGACAAAACCAGGATGTACAGCTACGTCCCCTCATTCTCATCCCCTACATTTATTGAGATGGGAGGGCTCCCCAGAGAGGACAGGAGACAAACTGCCATGAAACAATTCTGTTCCCACAGAAGATGTCCCAAGGCCCAAAATCAAAAGTGCCTGACTGTGACTAGAAGGACAGGGGACACAGACCTCAGGGGGAGGGAAGGAAGGCCAGGGAGGGGTTCTCAGAACACAGGTGGGCAGATGAGTGTGTGGGAAGAGGAACCTGAGAGCCTCTACAGCCTGTGCTAAGCAGTGAAGTTGGGGTCCTCAGAACCCAGAGTCCAGCCTAGTCTGACTCTGTTGGTGACTTTCAGCATGATCTTGGGTATAACCACCTCCTATGCCTCAGTTTCCTTATCTGTCAAATAGGGATAATGGCCCCAGAAAAGAGCTTCCTGGGTGTAGTGTGGCATAGTGCAGACACCCCAACACGCCTTACATCCCAGTTGTATGTGCTATCCCTCTAGGTGCAAGATAGGCAGACAGACAGCAAAATGGAGAAAGTTCCAGCCCCCCGGCTGCCATGGCGTCTACAGCTAATGTCGTGTTTCCAGGGTGACCCACAAAACCAGGTTTGATGATGCTCTGTTCTTAGCCCAAGCCAGGTGAGTTCCAAGTGAGTGAGGGGAGACAAGGAAGCTCAGAACGCCACAGGGCCTCTGTCCACTCACTCTGCATACCAACCTGCCTCAAAGGGCACAGGTGGCCACATGACAGGAGACAGCAGGGGTGGGCCAGCAGGACAAGCAGCTCAGCCTTGGTTCAGAGGCAGAATGGTCAACCCTGATGTCTCCAGAATTCACCCCCCCCCCCAAAATAAGCAGTGCATCGCTAGGCTGGATGGCTGTATTCAAATGCACTAACCCTTGTCCTTGGATGGGTGTCCTGGCCTGGGTCCCAGAGACCTGGGCCTCAGGGTTTCCTCACAGCTCTGAGGACTCTGGTGGTCTTGGTGCAAAAGAAGCCTCAGCTCTGCTGGGAGTTCCCCAGACACCAGGGCAGTGAGATGGTTCCAGTGGACCTGTCCAGCTGGCAGGGCCCCTGATGGGGGTGCAAGGTGGCCACCCTGGAATTCTGGGGTCTGATGCCCTCTGCAAGTCCCTTGGGTCTCCCAGCTGGCTCTTTCTCAGGCTTAGAAGGAACAACCCTGAGCTGGGGCCAGGAGCCTGGACACGGGACCAAAACAATGGCATAGTCACTGTGAAATAGAGGGATGGTGGCCATGTGTCCATTTCTCTAGCTTTTCCAGAACTGTTTCTTGTACTAAGACCTGTCAGGTCTTTCCTTCAGCCCTGGGGGCGGGGGGTGGTGGTGAGGGGGGGTTAAATCTTCTGGGGACGCTCTTCCATCTCCTGCTCTCTGAGGCATCTGTCCCTTGGCCTTTTTGTGGGTGGAGTCACCCGGATGCTGTCCCCAGCTCTAAGGATCCCTGATGCCCACTTCCTGCTTGCTACCTCCTTAGAGCTCTGATACTGGCCACAGGGAGGACCCCGCCCTCCCACCCTCACCTCTCCTCTTCACTCCAGCTCCTCCCCTGCCACGGCCTGACCAGGAAGTCACCTCAGACTGCTGCGTCCTCCTTGTACACCACTTCCTGGCTCTCACCCAGGACTCCTCCCTGCCCTCAGCTCCTCCTTTCTCCCCTCTGCCTCCCCTCCCCTCCCAATGGGGTCTGGATTCTTCCCTCCTACCACTCTGCCCCAGGACACAAATAGATGTCCCAAAAAGCAAATGGGAACACGCCTAACCTGCTACCATGGACTGGATGAGCCTTGAGGACACCACTCAGTGAATAAGCCAGTCACAAAGGACAGGTGCTGCGTGAGTTCACTCAGGAGGCCCCAGAGTGTCAGAGTCACAGTCAAAAAGCAGAATGGGGCTGCCAGGGGCTGGGGAGGAACAGGGAGCTGGGGCTTAATGGGGACAGTTTTACCCTGAGAAAGTTCTGGTGAAGGCTGCACTGAACTGTTGTCTAATAATTAAAATGGCAAATTTTATACTACAGGTATTTTATCACAATAAATAAAATAAAAAGAGTGAAGTCTAAATGCAGGCAAAGATGACCTCTGCCCTCATAATAAGAGCCACAGAGGCTGAAGCTACTTGGAGCTTCCGTTTTGGCCAGAGTCAATAGTTAGATGTGCCTGAGGACACTGGTGCTGGGGTCAGCGTGTGCTGGGTGGAGGCAGGGCATGCTGGGGCCAAGGCGAGCAGGGACCTTGGGCAGCCACAGACACAAACTACACAGCTCAGAGGATGGCAGCCTGTGGTGGCCATCAGAAAGACAAGTGCAGCTGACGCCCTGACCTGTCCACCACCTGAGGGTGATGCAGCCCACAGCAAGTGACTCAGAGACCAAGAGGTTCCACAAGTCAGGAGGCCCAGCATCCCCCAGGTGAGAGTCAGGGCGGTGGCATGGCACATCCACCAGCGGGAGCCTGAGCTCACAGGATGAGCAGCTCAGTGCCACCTCAGAGAAGAGAGCCTCAGAGTAGCAGGGAGAGTGGTCTGTCTGTCTGTGCCAACCAGGGAGCCCGCAGACCTGCATACAGAAGTGGGAAGGCGGCCAGTCACCTGGGAATTTGCTGTAGCAGGCTCTCAGAAGTGAAGCATGGGGTGTCCACGTGATCCAGGGCCTCCACATGAAAACAGATGTTCATAAGAAAACATTTTCACAGATGTTTAGCCTTATTTGTCACAGTCCTAAAGTGGAAACAACCTAAGGTCCACCAACAGATGCGTGGATAAACAAATGCAGTCTATCCAAACCACAGAGCCTCAATCAGCTACGAAAGGAATGAGCTGCAACCCAACAGACCTTAAACACGACACCGAGTGAAAGAAGCCAGACACCAAAGGCCACGTGCAGTGGGACTCCTTTTGCAGAAAATGTCCAGACGACTTGACAGAGACAGGGTACAGGCTGGTGGTGGGCAGAGGCTGTAGGTGAGAGAGTCGCAAGGAGTGACTGCTAAAGTATACGGGGTCTCTTTTGGGGTGACAGGAATGTGCTCAAGCTGATTGTATCAACAGCTGTATGATATGGAAAATGCACTAGAACCCTCTGAATTGCACACTTGTGATGGCCCCTGTATGCTGAGAGGATTCTCCCACAAGGGTGCCATCATATCAACTGACCACTGAAGCCTCTGTGCTGCCCCCAGGAAGATGCCACAAAGGAGGGCCACTGTCACCTCTGTAGAAAGGAGGGTGGCCTGGGGTGTGGGAGGGCATGCACTGTGCACACTCTCACACAGGGACCTCAGGAGTGTGACCCCAGAGCAGGCCCTATGTGCAACAGGGAAGAGATTTTGTAAAAGGGGCATGGGCCAGGGAGGAGGGCCTGCATCACCGTCCACAGTCACTCACAGTCACTGGTACTCGTGGCTGTCTGCATGCTAACAGCGGACCAGGGCTGGCCCAGCACTTTTTGTGTGACTCTCAAAGCAGTCTAGAGGGCGACAGTACTGCTGTCCCTCTTTAAAACTGAGGGTCTGGCTAAGGCCAAACAGCTGGCCTCTCTGCAGTCAGTGCTGCGGCATTTCACACAGAGCCCCGCACCAGAGCCTGTTTCTCCTCTGGAACACACAGTAGGATTTCCTGTGATCCCCAACATCCGAGTCCCTGCAGGTTTTCCCGCAGGGCTACCCAGTGCCACAGGCAGAGGAGCCCAGGTCCATGGTCTGACCTTGCCAAAGTCTCTTCAGCATCTGTTCCCCTCCCTCAGCCACAGCCCAAGGCACCAAGCCACTCCCAAATCAGTGTGTCCCCCAGGACATTCCTGCCCCATAGATGGCAATTTGCACATCAGAGCCATACCGACCATAGCCCATCCCTCCTGTGACCCCACCCTGGCCCCCATCCAAGAAGTCCCATGCCCAGGCATGTCTTCTCTTGCTCCTTCTAGTTCTCTCTGCACCACCCAGGAGCCCACATTCTCCAGACTACTCCTCAACTCATCTCCTTGGAGGAGCCAGCTCCAACAGTGATCCTCCCCTGCAGGGGCTCCCGATGCCCCCAAGCCCACACACTTTGCCCCTGATCAAGACCACCATGGTCCTGTGTCCCCGCCTCCCACTGCTGCCCTGTCTCCAGTTACCACCACAGCACACCCAAGACACACTGTCTTCTGTAACGGCGGTTACAGAACAGTGGTAAGCAAAGCCATCTAAGGGAGGACATGGAAAAGCCCCAGAATTCAAGCTCATGAGCTCTCCCAGTCCCTCCACTTACCTGCAGTCCTACAGCTGGACCAACGGCCCTCAGGTGGCCACAGAAATGTGGTCTAGAAGAACATGGCTCTGGGCAGGGTGTGGTCCAGGGGCATAGCTCCCACCCAAAGGCTATCCCCTGCCGAACCCTGCCATCTACCAACACCAAAGCCCGCACCTGCTGTGAGACCCCCTCAACCTTACACCTGGTCCCTGTGCGCATCACACTCTCAAAGCCTTCTGGCAGCCCAGTCTGACAGTGCCTGAGGCCTGCACAAGCCAATGGCAACTGCGACAGCCGAGTAAGGCTTCATCCCAGGTGACTGGCCCTCGAGACCCCATGTACTGCCCTCTTCTCCCACATACTGCCTCACGTCCACCTTAGACATGTGCACACCCAGATGGGAGGGTGCAGGTCCAGGCAGGGTCTCTATTTACACCATTCCCGGGCAAGGTGGCTGCCACACAGCTCTGGCTAGACAGACAGACAGAAGGAGTAAGAGTCAGAACAGCCCAGCTTCAGTCTCTATAGGGTCCCTGTCCCATTGAGCTCAGGATCACGTCTGGAGGGGGAGGGTTCTTGTCCTAAGATGTCCCCAGCACACTCAGCTCAAAGACCAACATTCCAGACCTGTGGCCCACAGCCCTCCATGTGACCAGCACCAGAAGAGACGGTTCTCATGTCAGGCCTTGCTGATGTTGCTGGCATGAGCGGACACACCAAGCCAGGGACCTGGCCCACCCTTAGGCCAAAAGCTAGAGGACCAGTCTTTGAACACTGGAGACAGCACTGAACACAAGTCAGGCTGGGCAGGGGAAGGCAAGCACCCCACGTGCCTGACTAGCAGCGTATGGCGGGCAGCCAGGCTCTAAGGAGACAGCGCTGGTGAGTTACTAATTCCTGCCAGGAGCAAGGCACAGCTGCCACCCTATTACAACACATTCACGATAGAAGGAGCTGGGAAAACCGATGATTGCAGGCATCTGGAGAAAAATCCTGGTTCTGGGGTAGGGAGAAAAAAACAGTGGGCCACCACAGCAGGGGGACATCCATTCACAGCTGGCAGGAGGACTTGGCACATGTATGCAACACAGCAAGCCTGAGATAAAAGGGCCTGTGTAGAGAAGGGACTTCAGAGCGTGTGCCCCACCCCACTCTATGCACCTCTCCCCCAGGAAACATGAGCTCCTGGAAGGCAGTGCCCACTCAGTGTGGTTGGCCCCCAGGACACAGGCCTGGCTGAGGAGCTCAGGAGACAATTGCCTCCTGAATGTAGCACCCCCCGCCCCACGACTGACCACTGCATGCAGATAAGCGTTCAGCCCGCGGCCAGGAGTTGGTACCGTACACCTGAGCGGGGTCAGACACACAAGCCAGGTGCCAGGTGTTTCCAGGTGGGCCCTGCCCTGCCCTAGCCCCACGCCAGCGCTGATGGGAGAGGTCTCAACGTCACTTTTGCATTCAGAGTTTGTCAACCACCCCAAAAAACCAATGGCAGAGGCCAAAAAATGCTGCCACTGGACAAACCCCAGTACAGAAAAGGCTTCATCCAGGACAAGCGCTCTGTATAGCGGGGTCTTTGGGGGATGGTGAAGCAGGAAACAGGGGGAGCAAAACAAGGGATGGGGAATGGCACCGCAAGTGTGTCTATCGAGCCCGGGCTGGAGAAATCTGCCTGCATCACACTCGGCTTGGCCACCTGAGTGCAGAGGAAGACACCCCAGCATACACCAAGGGACAACAAGGACACTGGGGGTTGTACTCACAGGGTCCCTGAGCTCCTCGCTGTCCCGGGGTGAGGTCCGAGGGATCTTCAGAGGGAGCTCGTCTCCACACTCAGTGTCCGAGGCATTTGGGGACTCTGCTAGGTCAAGGAAGTCCTCTCTCTTGTGGCCTCTGAACCTGATCCTGTCCAGCCTCCTAAGCATGTTCAGTACGGCGCCCCTCTGTCTCACCTGGACATGACGGGCGGGCTCCCTGCAAGAGAAGTGGGACGGTCACTCACTCGCCACTCGCTACCCCTGCGGCACACAGTTCCAGCTGTCACCAAGCTCCTGCCCAAAAGGAGCGGCCAGTCCAGCACGCAGACCACCCTCCCCTTGCACCCACCGAGCTGAGCCACTGTCACCCCACCCCAGCCAGCCTGGTCAGCTGCTGAGGTTACTCCTGCAGCCTCCACCACAGCAGGTGGGTCCCAGGCCCCAGCAGGGCAGAAGACAATCTGTGTCCTCGCTGGGACCTTCCTGGCCACTGAGCCTGGCTCACCAGGGTGACTTAGAGACCCAAGGGTAAGGGCAGAATGTAGAAAGGGGAGGGAGGGCTCATCACTCTCCAAAACGCTAACAAACATTCAGAAGCATATGGCCACACACACACTGTCTGGGGCAGCCACCAAGGCCAGGCCTCAGTAGCAAGGCTGCCTCCAGACTCCCTGGTAGGACCTGGTCTTGTGTTCCACCCGCTCTACCTGTCCGACCCCCAACAATTTCATCCATGTTTCTGTCTCCCCCAAAACCTTCCTTTTCACTGTCCACCCCTGGCTTGACCTTGGTTGAGTGAAACCTCAGCTCAGGCCACACTTCCTCCAAGAAGCCCTCCCAGACTGGGCTGGGTCAGGAGCCAGGTGTCCCATCCCTACCCTCAGATTGCAGGCCACTGTGAGCCTACTACCCTCTCCTGTTTAGGGCAAACAGGCAGAGGCCTGGTGCTGTGTCACACTGTACACTGGATGGCAGGCTCTGATAAATCCACAAATGTTCCCAAGGTATTCCTTGCCTCACATCTCTGCCCCAAACAGGCCAGGAAATCCAAGGCAATCCCCAAAACTCCCAGGGAGGAGGGGGCGTGGCTAGTCTTCCCAGTGTCCTGCAACCTCACTCCTAGGCCCACAGCAGGGCCTGGCCAGGTGGAGAGGGGCCCCCAGCTCTGCCCCTAGACTCAGCACCCAACTCCAGGGCCCATGACCTCCCTTCCACAGTCCCTAGCCCCAACAACTACAAGGTCCCTGGCCCCGGGAGTGCAGGGCTCTGACACACCTGGGCTCCAGCCTGCTCTGCTGCTCACTGCCTTTCTGAGCTGAGAATTTTGCCTCTGAAACAGGAATGATCCTGATGAGGCAAAAGTATTCTGGGAATTTAGGATGACATATACTGAGGGCCTGACCTGGGCCTGGGCCAGTAAACCACAGGATTGTTTCCACACAGAAGCAAGGGACAGGGGGGTGAACATGGTAACCAGGGTGGACTCCATGGAGCAGCCAGGCAAGGGGGGAAGAGCTTCCTGTTTGGGGCAGCAGCATGGACGCCCTGAAGGGCAGATAAATCACAGCTGGAGGAGGAGCAGTGATCCCCTTTAAGCCTGCCTTCCCCAGCGGCTCCTTTGCTGTACTTAGCATCTAGGCCCAAGGCAAGATTTGCAAACAGTGGGGACCTTGAAGACCTCAGGCACAATGTACCAGAACTTGTTCTGAGCTATGGGACAGCTGAGGCAGGCAGTGTGTTAGGAGAGGGACTGCAAAACTCCTAGCACACATTAGTCTGACTCACTGGGAACACCAAGAGGCAGTGTGACATTGGTCCCGGTGCAGAACCCACAGGAAACAGTATCTACACACAGTGAACCTGACACTCAGTGACCCTGGGAATCAGTGGGCGTGGGGGGAACCAGGAATGGGCAGTGCAGGGGGTGTGGCAGGTGGCCGCTACACAGAGGGAAGGGATATATATACCAGCCACATGACAAAGTGTCACATACAGAAACTGCAAATTCCAGAAAGACTAAAGAACAGTAAACTTAAAAACATATCAACGGAAAGAGAAGAGACCTTAAAACTCAGCAAATCCCTAGAGAGGAGAGAACACTCTAAATTAAGAGACTGAAAAATAAATTCACAAAGTAATAAAGTCTAACAGACACCAAGACACATGGAAAAGCTTTCTGTTGCTAAAAAAGAAAAGAAAATTCACAATGAAATAGGGAATATGGGTAGCTTATATGATTTATAAAGGATTAGTATTTTTGTTGCAAGACAGCTTGAGTAAATGGGGAAAAATTACAAGACCGCTCCTATTTCATGCAAAAGCTATGGGCAGCACCAAACAGCGTCAATGCTCACTAATGTGCCAGAATGCTTCGGGATCCATAAATCTGAGCAGGATATGGTGGGGCTCCCCTGTAATCTCAGCTACTTGGGAGGTGGAGGCAGGAGGATGGAGAGCTCCAGGCCAGTGCAGGCAAAGTTAGCAAGACCCTATCTCAAAAACAAAATAAAAACCCAAAGGGCTAGGTATGTGGTAGATAGCTTGCCTAGCATGCACAAGGCCTTGGTTTCATCCCTAGTACTAAAAAAAAAAAAAGAAAGGGAGGGAGGGAGGGAGGGAAAGAGAGAGAGAGAAAAAAAAAGAAGGCTGGCTTCAGAGCCAGCTGTTCCTCCTCTTGTGAGAGGATCCTGATCCAATCCAAGGCACAGCACATCTGGAGCATGAAATGCTCCTCCAGGTAGACTATGGCCACACTGTGCGCCAGTCACGCCTACCACTCCGAGTTGTGTGGGGCTGGGTTCTGGAATATCCACGATGGCCTCACACAGGATTACAAAATGCTATTCCTTGTGGTCACATTGTGCAAACAGGCATGTGGAGAGACACAGGCATGCACGGAACGCAGGTTGACTGGTTTTCAGTTCTCTCTCCACAAGTCCTGTAGCATTTCCTATCATTTTTTTTTTTTTTTTGGCAGTACCAGGGCTTGAACTCAGGGCCTCATGCTTGCTAGGCAGGTACTCTATCACTTGAACCACTCACCAGCCCTTTTTTGTGATTTTTTTTTTTTTTTGGAGAACTATTTGTCTGGGGCTGGCTATGAACTGAAATTCTCTTGAGCTCAGCCTCCCAAATAGCTAGGATTACAGGTGTGAGCCACAGGTGCATGGACTCGCTTTTTTTTTTTTTAACAGATTATTTTATTATGAGAAAACACATTAACACAAAGTTTACAACTTACCCACTTTTCAGGGTACAGTTCAGTGGTATTAACCACACTCGACGGCATGCATCCATCCCAAAGAACTTCATCTTGAAAACAGAAACTGTGCTCACTCAATACCAACTCCCCTTCCCATCCCCACCCAACCCAGAAACCACTGTTCCTATGGCTTTCATTTAGAAAAAGAATAAAACAGGTCGGGGACATGTAGCAACGTAAAGCCTATTAAACCTACTTCCTTTTGCTCTGGAAACGCCTGCCCACGTTTCCTGATGCTGGGAGGACGAGGGTCTGCCAGGACACTGAGACAGCGTGCACCTGGGCAGACACAAGGGAGGCAGGCTCTTGCACGCAGTCCTTGGCTCCTTAGAGGACTCCAGGCTGGGAGGGTCCCCTTGTCTAGGATTCTCAAGTACCCTGAGGCCGGGCTGCCTTCTCAGTTCAGCTTCAGCAAGCTAATGAGGTGACCGCACTGGGAAAGGGGACTAAGGGGCCAAGTATCCAGCTTGGCACCATCTGAATTGAAGGCAGCTGGCTATACACTGGAGCTGTCTCTCCAGCTCAGCTACAAACCCAGGGTCCCGCTGGCTGCAATACAGGCCCGGGGAGGGCACCCAAACATGCAGCCACCTGAGTAAGGGGTCTTCGGAGAGCACACAGGCCCCACCTCCCTCTTTGGGTTCCTCAAAAGGATGAACTGCTCATACTGCAGTCAGGAAGGATCAAACTCCATGCCACCAAGCAGGCCACTGGGAAGGGTCCCAGACTGTGCCTCCACGCATACCTGCCCCAGAGAGGGACGTCCTCCATATCCACATAGGCACCCCGTAAACGGGCTGAGGTGCAGCCCACTCCACGCCAGGACCTCGTCTCAATACCATCTGCAAAGACCCTTATTCCATGTAAGGTCATTTTCACAGTGCCCAGATGGGCATTAATCTGGGAAGGACCCTGTTCAACTTGATACACCCCAACTTACAGAGAAGGAAACCAGGCCGAGGAGCCTGTGCACTGGCCATTGTCCCAGGGCCAGGTTCCGGGGTTGTTCATCAAGCCAATGTCTGCCCAAGTCTCACCTGTCCTGGATGCTGCTGTCATGTGTGCTCCCTCCACTGGCCCCTAGCCCTCCCCCACATCCAGCTGCCCACTGCCTAGAGTCCATGGGAGGAAGTTAACTCCTCAGCCCACCGTCCTCTCCAGGGCGGGCCCTCCCCACGTGCCTACAGCCCCCGCCCCCACCTCCCTCCCCTTGTCTTATGGAGTCCCACGCAGGGCACTTCTTAAAAGAAAATGGTTCCTTCCCTTGATGGCTCCCTGGTGTGGCTGGGCTCTCAGGTGGCCTCCACCTCCCTCACTGGACCCCTCCTTGGGCTGCACCAGAGATCTGGCTGGACCAACTGACCTTCTGGAGGGGAGTGTGCCTTTATCTCAGAATCAAGATGGCTATGGAAGAACTGCCACCACCCAGGACCCAGGGCCCCAGCAAAGGGCAGTTTTCCTCAAGCTGGTGAAATCTGCTCAGAGTGAGATCTTCCTCACTCCTGGCCCCATCATCTCTAGACACATCTGGAAGCAGGTGTGCTTAGAAATGCCCCTGGCTGTGGCCACTCCAGGGCTGCTTCTAGGACCCTGGACCCACATGCCTGAGAGCCAGCTGGACAACACAGGCCCAGGAAGGTGGCACCTACTGCCCAAGGCTTGGGGTGTGCGATCCCTTTCCTGTGGCCCCAGCAGGGCAGGGCAGTGGGACTCACTGCTCTCCAGATCCCCCAGCTCCAGTGGTACCCTACCCCTCTCAGCCACAGGACAGAGTCCAGCCCCACTTGTCCTGGAGCACCTCAGCTCGCTCTCTGGAAGCTTGCTGAATGGCTTCCAGACACACAAAGGAGGCAGTGTGTGGGAACCCTGCACTTGGGAATGGCAGAGTGCTTTATTTCCCTTCCCACGTCCCAATTGAAAAATAAAACTATTCCCCTGCGCTTGCCTAAGCCACAGTGTCCCCACACCACTGGCTGAAGCTTCTGAGCCTGGGTCCACAGCTTTGTGGCTGACAACCCCCCCAAGCCAGGGCCTGGCTGCACCCCTCACCCCCTCCTTATCTGTGGCTCCCTCACTGAGCCCCAGATAAACAGCGTCCACTCTTCCACAAGATGCCAGCCCCCCCTCCTAAGCAACATTCCTGGAGGGCTCACAGATGTTGAGCAAGACCAAGGCCTGTCCCTGTGCCAAGTCCCAGTCCTCAGGGATGATGGCCCTTAAACCTTGAGGTCAGAAAGGCCTGGGATTATGGTTAGACCCCCAGATGGACAGTCAACTGGGGCAGCTGGAGAGGGTGCGAGGTTGGAGCAACCAGTGGGTTCCCGGGCTTTGCAGGGTGAACAGGAGGCCAGGTACTAGCATAATCGAGGCTCAGGTCCAATGTCCTACCTCATGGCCACTCTGATTGTCCCACACACAACTCCTGCCAGCCAGCTCGGCCTTCCTGGGCCTCTGGATCCTTGAGGCCCTAGGAGGCTACGGTGTGGCCCTTGACGCTGTCCCCACACACCCCTACTTGCCCTTGGCCACTGTCATTCCAGCATCAGGCTTAGGATGCTCACACCTGAGGGCATGCAGATTCGCCCAAACTTGAGGTTTGTCTGGTAGCTACCCCCATTCCACCCCCACCCCAGTCCTGCATGCTGGGCAGCTGGTGGGACCCCAGATGCTCCTGACTTCAGAACCCGGATGTTATGCTGCCTCTCAACTCTGTACCTACCCAGGCTCCCCGCCAGCTCTGCACCACATATTAACACCCCCCACCACTTATCAACCCACAGAAGGGAAGCGAAGCCTGATCCACGCGTGGGCCCGTCCCCGGCCACTGCCCTGGCCAGTGGCCCTGATGCACAGCACACAGGGAGACCCATACCTCAGGAGCACAGGTCACAGTGAAACGTGGTCAGTGATTCGGAAATGGCAAGCCTCGGGGACTTGCTACCTCCTGTGGCTTGCAATATTACATATCTGATTTTAAGTTTATATACTTTCATTTTTATTGATGGCCAGCTCACAAAATTCCTGAAAGCCCAGCAATTGGCTCTTGTGAACCGGCATGAGCTGCACTAGCACGCCACTCGCGGTGCACCCCCGAGAGCAGGCTCAGTAAGCAATGGTGTCCTCCAGTCACCCACCTTCTTCCCCGGCAGGCACAAGGGATGCGTGCATGAAACAGCAACTAAGATTTAAATGCAAAGTGAGAGCTCCAGAGGGGCTCAGGACCACCGATGGCCCTGGGAAGCTGGAACCATACCACCAGGCTCACTGGAAGGGCCACAGGACATCTCAGGCAGGAAGGGCACATCTCAGAAATGTCACACCTAAGCAGCAAGGCACAGAGGCATCTCTGGCTCTTAACTTGCGGCCATGACCTCAGTACGTCCCCTAGGAGGTGCTAGGACCTCCCTGCCTTCAGGATGCTTCCTGGCCACTCCTTCTGTCTGGACCCTCTCAGCCACCAGGCAACCTGTTCCTGGTCTCCCATCTGTGTTCTGCACCACCTGCTGCTCAGGAACAAGTCACTCCCACCCTCCCTCATCCACCTGCTGGGGGACCCATGGCCACCATCACACACTAATGAACGTGGGGGCAGTAAGGGGCGCTGGCCTGTCCCGAGCTGGGAGTGCATCTCACCCTGCCTGTGCTCCAGCACCAAGCAGGGCCTCGAGCCACATCTGCTCCCATTGCTAATGACCTGCAGAGTGGCTAAGCAGGGAGGCCACTCCACCGAGTGGAGACAGCATGGAACCAGACCTAGTGCCTTGGCTGTGTGACTTCGGCTATATGACATGATAACATGATATTCCTCTGTGCCCCATGTTCCTTGGTTATAAGAGGATGTGACTGGATCCCTACTCAGATAGTTGTTGGAGGGTGACATGAAATGGTGCCAGAAGGACCTGGCAACAATGGATCCAGCGGGAGTGATGGTGGCAAAGACGCAGGTCCATTTTCTTAAACAGTGACCAGCAAGTATTGCTCTTGAGGTTCCCATGTCACAAAATCCCAGGAGTGACCCTGTCATGTGACAGGCCAGGGGAGTGAGGTGAGAGGTGAAGCTGGTGCTCCAAATGTAGACAGGGCTCCAGATGGGAGGAGCCCACCTAAGCGGAGGTCACTTAGGGAAGGCACAGCCCCCTCCAGCCATCTACCAGTCGCCAAAGTTCATCCCTGTCCACACCCAAGACAGGCCCTTTATCCCTCAACCAGTCCCCAAGGGTTGGGAGTGAGTTTCTCAAGCCAGGCTGCCCTGTCAGCCCCTGTCCTCCCTGCCTCAGTTTGTTTCATGGTCTCTAGGTGGGAGGAAGAGAGCAGCTGGCACAGGTGAGCACGGTCCACTTAAAATGACCCCCGGTGACCCAAAGTCAGCCCAGGCTCACACCACACAGGGCCTGAGAGGCAGTAAGGAATACCAGCTACAAAGCATCCTTGGGACCCCAGCACTGCATCCACACTTCCCCTAGGCCTCTGTGCACCCCAAAGCCTGCTCAGAGGCCCAAATCATCTGATCCTGAGGAAAGAAACTTCCTCCAACATGCCAAGGACACAATCCAAATCTGAATCCACAATAGAGCACCCCCAGTCGGCAAATAGTCAGAAATAGTTAGAAAAAGAACCCCAGTGTTCCTGCCCTCAAGCCAAGGGCCAGCTTCTACCACCAAGCCTTTCTTGAGGATAGATAAAGGAGGACAAGGAGCTAGAGGACAAGCTGCCCCAAGTGCCGATCTTCCCCACACAAGGCCCCACGGTGTCCTTGGTCACAATGCTGCCAGGGAGGAGCTACTGTTAAACCAACTGACAGATGGGGAAACTGAGGCTCAGGGAGGTTGAGGGGGTATAAGAGAAAAGTGGAACAAAAGGAACATAACTGCACTGCAGAGCTTCCACCCTCAGAAAGCCCAGAGGTGGCCAACTATCTTCCCAGCATGAACCTCTACCAATACGTCCTTCACAGTCTGGTAGGCCATCGGCTCTGAGAGAGTGGGACCTCTCACCTGCCTGTGACAGTGAGTGGGGCCA